TAGACAAATGAGATTCAATGCCTGTTTGCACCACCGCCGTGGCAGTCCCGGCCTCAGTCATTCCGGGCGGGATGGCCTCAGTCAGTAAGGGCTTGGACTGGGAGCTGTAGGGGTCGCCGGTCTAAGTCCCCACCGCGACCAGACCCTAAAAATCACGCGCAGGTGCTGGACTGCTACTTGGTAGAGGTCCCAGTTCACCTCCTGCCCCTGCTTCGGTGCCCCTTGCAGCAATGCGCCGGACCCCCTTCCCCCCTCACTCCATAGCTGCCCACCTGCTCTAGTCTAGCTCCTGGTGCTAGGATGGGTTAAATGCAGCGAGAACAAATTTCACTGTGGTGCTGTGTGAAGCATTTCTAATCACCTTACTAATCGTGGGTGGATGTGACGATGATCACTTGTCAAGTATTGCATCTTTTCGAATTTCTGACAAATGCGTCGGGGTGCGTGTTGTATCGTATCATATCATATGGTATAATCAATGTTTTTGTTTGTGTTCCAGGAGGTTGAAAGGAGGCCAGGATTCCTTCGATGATGTGTGGGAATCCCGTGGAGAACGAGATCATCGCAATCTTTCTGAGCCAAATCAGCCGATTGCCTTTGCACAATGATGTCCATACCTGTACGTTGGGTTTTCTTTAATCCCTCAATTTGTCATTTGAAAGTGACCCACTTTATAGTTGTCTTAAAGATCTCCTATCATGCTATTTTTGGTATATATATATATATCATATACTATATACCAAATATGTAAAAAACATGTCTATGATGTGTTTTGCTCAAAATACTAAAAACGGATCATGCATTTTAGACATCCTCATATCCCTCTACTCCCAGGCCTGTTAGAGCAGATGTTTTCAAGTGGGGGCCCCGACCCCGGGGGGACGCCAGGTGGGTCACCAAAGTTTGAGGGAAACGGCGATTTTCTTATTTTTTTTTATTAATAACTATCAATGCTATGTGTTTTTTTCCCTTTGATTGCCAATCTTTTAACATTTTGTTTTTGTATCAAGCCAGCGCTACTGAGATAGTGAACTGAAGTATCTCCTCAGCTTTTGGAGCAAGTGAGAGCTAGTGATATGTTTCGCTCTGGCAAGCTGGATGAAGCAACAGGATGTAGCAAATGTCGGCAGAATCTGCTTGCATACCATCAGATTTTATTTCAAAGACAACTTTGTTGAGGAATATTATTTGCAAAGCCTGGAACGGTAGGACCACATGAAGGGACATTTTCCAAGTTTTACGTGGTACATCATCATCAAATGGACTTTGACTGGTCTCAAGTTGTGTGGGTGGTGTGTTCAGATGGCCAGTGGGCTATGACAGGCAAAGAAGCGGAGCTGACAGCTTTGATCAGACAGAAGGCCCAATGTAGTGGCAACGCACTGCATGGCTCTATCGCGAGGCACTTGTACACATCAATTTAAAAATAAAAAACAAAATTTGCAAACTGGGGACCCGCCAGAGGATAATGCTATAAGCAGGCGTGGGTTCTCTGGCATGGCAAAAGATTTGGGAACCCCTGGTGTATAGAGAATGACTGATTCCTTGGGGTCCTTAGCCTTGAAACAAACAAAAAGAGGAGGCGACGCTTATGCCTGCTCAGAATTACTGGCGGCAGATACAGCTAAATTGCCTGCCCTGATTAAACGCCCATATCAATGTTCAAATCACCACGCAGGATATTTCTGAAACAGTAAGACGCTCAAAAAGCTTTTTCTCTGCGGGTTTACACAAGGTTCAGTTTCCTCTTTTTTCCCCTACTTTCTCGTTTTACACACATCGGGTGTTTCTCAATGTCGAGAGGCTGCTCCAGAGCACTATTTCAAGCATAACTACGTCATCGAGTGCCGAGTCCCGAAGGACTGTTCCAAATGTCCAGCATACTTGGAATTTACGAGGCTGGCGTACTTAGTAGCGAGCACATTTCGAGGCGCCGCGGTCCTTAAAAGCCCCACAGTGCTTTGCGCACAGGACGGACCAATTTCCAAATCTTGCGGAAACTCGCGCTCCATTTAAGGCGGGGCCACGCATATGACGCACACTGCACACCTGTTCCGCATTCTTTGATTCCAAGGCTAGGAAGGATTCTTGGCCTCGCTTCTGAAAGCAAGTGAACTCGGAAGACATGTGCCTACCAACAAGCCGTCCTCGACATTGAGAAACACCCATACCTTCTCTCCAAGTCAAATGTAATTAAAGTCAGATCCACTCATGTCTTACCCCTAGATTCCACCGGGTCCGTCTGCGCCGCGGCGTTCACAGCGATCGTGGCCACTCGAGTCAATGGGTGCTATTCCACCAGACGCGCCGCGTTATGGCTAGAAGCGTCCCAGAAGCGCGGACCCGGTGGAATCCTGGGGATAGCGATGCTTGCTAATGTAAACAAAGACCATATAAAGTCCAAAACACGTCAAGCATTGTTTCTGATAGCAACGTTTCTGATATTACGTCATATCGGACGCAAATCTGGATCAGCTCCGTTGTACCGCCGTGTTTAGAGATTTGGGTACGGAGGAAAAGAGAGAGGGTTTTATTTTCTGACGCTTGAGTTCCCTGACAAACCGGAGACACATATTTTTGTATAAAGTGCATTTTGCATGATAGGAGACCTTTTAATCTGTACTTTCATACTGTATTTCTAACAAATTTGGTAAACAATATAAACATAAAATCTCTCTTACAAAGTTCAGCAAGTATTTTGATGCTACATAGATTTTGGGGAACTCAATTAAAGAAACATCTGGTGGTGCACGTCATGCTCCTTGTTTACCTTGGGCCACAGGAGTATATTGTTTTTATGAAAAGCAGAGTTGGATATTTCTCACAAACTTGCAACAAAATGTTATTTCAAAACGAGACGATTTCTTTTGTTCAGTGACGTCTGCTTTAGGCCGTCTACCTCAACAAGACACGGAAACCACTTGAAAGTTACTGTTCTTACTTCACATCTCGCAGAAAACCGATGCAGCTGTTTGTAGCTTCCTCTCTGCAATGCGCACAAAGCCACCATGTCTGGTTCACATTATTTCTTACAGTATTGTAGTGACACGCAACAAGCCAGATTTTGCACGTAGGTCTTAAATGAATGCAACTCTTTCAATCACTACAGAATCAAATTATGCAGTGGTTACCTTTTTAAAATGTCGTAAATATGAATACAAATGGGCTGCTCTTTTTTTTGTCTTTTTTTTTCAGAAAACGCATTCAAGGAGTTGTGTTTCATGGGACACGAAGAAAGGTAAGAAACCTTAGAACAACCTTACAAGCAATATTAATTTGTCAGAAATATAATTTACTGTAAATCCTGAGATGTTTATTAAGTACAGTACGTGTCAATCTGTGTTTTCTTTGTGCAGATCCGTTGCAGATCAATTGGTTAGGAGATGGATGTGAGGTCGGACAGAAAGGAGAAAAGTACACCGAGTGCCTCTGTAACCATCTGACATACTTCACTGTGCTCGTGGTGAGATACAAACAGGAACACTGCTACTGCCTTCACATAAGAAACAAACGCGTGTACTTATCAATAGTACCATATGACCTACAGTATAGTCGGCACGCCCACATTTTGGAGAAAAACACAGTTACGGGAGTTAAGGCATGTAATCTGAGCAGCATACAGCTGTG